AATAGTGGACCCTGATTCAAGTCATGGCCCTTTGCTGCTTTTTCTTCCCTCCTCCATTTTTCCCATTTTATTTTCATGTCGTGCATGCATGTGTTGTTTTTGTTTGTTTTCTATACGGCTTATGGAAATAAGCCTGTGGTGTCAGTTGTTTGCAAATTCATCAGCCTTAATGAAAGGAAAGTATATAATAATATAATATAATATAATATAATATAATATAATATAATATAATATAATATAATATAAGTTTTGGGCCAGAAAAAACCCTTGAATAGATGATAAGCCAAAATAAATAAATTTGAAATTAATTAGTACTTGTTGTTTCCCTGGGTGATGTTGGTAAAGAACTGAGTCAATGCTCACAGACCATTATCGCTCTCCATCTGATGCTTTTGTGTTGTAGCAATCCGGTAAATTCCAGAGTTTACACCGAAGCACCACATTGCATCACTGATCACTGCAAAGAAAATTGTCTTTGGAAAGGCAAAGACTTTCCTGTGTTGAAGATGCGAGTACACAGAGCTCACAGATACACTACACTTTGAAAAAGTCAAATACGCCGTTACTGGCAATGTGAAGGACTTTGATCCAATCTCATAACCTCTACTCTCTTATCTTAGGGATGTTTAATTTAGCAGTCAGTGTTTGGGGAAGGGAGGATTTGACATTTTTGTGTTGTTTTATTTTTTTTGTTGCTGTCGTCCAGAGACAAACATCTGGCCTGGCCTGTACTCTTATTTACTTCTAACAAAAATGTCATCACAACAAAATAATTTATTCTTGATGTTGTTTTCTATAGGCAATTACAGAGTTAGTTTGCAATTCAGTGGCACATCAGATTTCAGTTTCATGTAATCTGACCTGGACCTTAAGCTCCCAGCGGCTGGCAGCAGGGGAAAGCGGTGGGGGGGGGGACTTGTGTGATATATCCATGTCCCTGTACTACAGACCGCTGCCGACCAAGGCCCCCTTCAGCTTAACACGTGTGAGCTGTTTAGTTTGCAACTGATCTAAAGTTCTTATAAAAGCGACTTCAAACTCTGATAAAGATGCTAAGTGTTATAAAAAGGTGCTAGTCCCTTTGATATGTCTATCTCTTTTAATGAAAGACACTGGATATGTACATTTCTCTTTCATGTGAGCCCATGAGAACCTCTCAAAGAAATGTCAATTGCCAAAATGGACTTAAATGTTTGCTGAGACCCCCCCCTTTTTTATTTTTTATTTTTTGCTTGTTTGTCTGGTTTTTGTTTTTCTTTATGTAAGTGCATGCATAAATATTCATATGTATGTGTGTTGGATTCATAATAATCTTAAATAAAGAATGTTAAAAAAAAGCGACTTCAAAAGAGAGAGAGAGATTAATTTGTTTCGTCTTCTCCCTCCGGCAGGTGTGCAACTCTGAATTATGATGCCGATCTTCCCGCCACAAGCATCATCATCACATTTCACAATGAGGCCCGCTCGACCCTCCTTCGCACCATCAAAAGGTAACGAGACCGAACGAACCCGCTCAGATGGAGGGAACAACGGGAATGGATGACAACAGTCAATGATCAGTTTCTGTTTTTGTCAGATCTCATCTCCCTGCTTGTTCCTTTCAGTGTCCTGATGCGAAGTCCTCCATCTCTCATTCAAGAAATAATCCTGATCGACGACTTCAGTTCTGACCGTGAGTTGTTTGCTTGTCCGCTGACCATCAGAAAAAATGGACGAATTATCCCGTATCTGCCTATTGACTATGAAACTGCTCATTATGATGGTGTTCTGTGGACTATAGGGACACTGGGGATGCATTTTCAATGTTGTTTTATCTGTAAACTGTGTTGCTACCATTGGATTTTCTCAGCATTTTATTTTGATTTCATTCAGTTTTAGAAGGCAGCTTTTTTTTGTGGTTTTTGTTGTCTTTTTAAAAAGCCTCAAAGGCCTAAAGGCAGTATTGAATGACCCTGATCTTTGAGCCCCCAGGCAGCAATGCATTTAAAGCATGGACTGTTTTAGTGGAAATAACTGCATTGACTCAGTAACATTTTTCTAACACCATCAACAGTGAACACAATCTGAACCCACAAATTAAGTTGACCGTGCAGGGGAGTTTAAAGAGTTTTTCTCTCTTTAAAAAAAGGAATGCTGCTCTGAGCCTGAGGCTAAAGAAATGGTTTCCCCCTCTGCGACCTGTTTAGTCATTTGTCGAAATTCTTTGGACTTATCCAGGATACTGTGCCCTCTTGGCTATAATGGAGAAATCCTGTGGCTTTTTATCAAACAACAATGCAAAAGTCCACATCTTTAATGATATCAGGATACATTAGTGAACTAGGTAACTTCCACATCTGTACTTTGTTTAGTTTAATCTGCCCTCTTTTTTCCAGAAAAGGTGTTGCTTGTATCAGCAATGCAATGTCAAAAGTAATAAAGCACATATAACATACGGCCGCACAATGCTAAAGTAAGGAGTACAGATGCTAAACTGAAAATGGTATTAAATTATGTGCCAATTGCAATCTGTTTTTATTTCATTTTGGCAAGACAGACCTTTTTTTTTTCCTACTTAAATATGGGCGAATAATTCTATTTTTGGAACTGGTGAGCTGCTCTGCCATCTGCTTTGAGCGCGTCCTGAACGCAGAAGTGTCTAAAGAGTGCTGAGACCAAAGAGAAATCCTGAGATTGAGAAAATGTAAGAGGGGGAAAAAATAACCTGGAGGCAGAGGTGCCCATGCTGATGGTTTATGGCTGAGGATCAGGAGCTAAGTCAACAGTAAGAGCTTTTCAGGGAACTTGTAGAAATTAAATTCGTCGTAAAACATGGCATGAAAATGCTTGCTTTTTAGAGGTATATCAGAACTTTTATTGACTTTGAGATGAGAAAAATGAATAGTTTAATGTCTTTAGTAGCAACATAATGGACACAGTGTGTTTTTTTGCGGCTGATCGGTGCTGGATTTGGGAGGATAGCCATGTCTTAAGCTGAGTAATTATTCCCCTTTGTCAACATTAGCCAGCTGAACGACATTAGCTCATGCTTCACACCGTCCACAGAGCTCTCTGTGTTTTCCATTTAGTGTCTGTAAGAGCAGCACAGTGACCTAAATTCCCCGTGTACTCAGATCCACACGAGGAGACGCTCGGAGGTGTCAGAGTTGGCGAGACATCGAAGCAGTGTTGTCTCAGTGGATGAAACAGCAGGGGCTCTTTTAGCTCTATAATACCTTGTTTATTCTCCCTGTGGTGCTGCCGGTCTACCTGCTCCCACGATGTTCTGGCACAAGCAGCGGGGACTAAACTTGTTTGCCAGTTCTAAGAGCAGGACTTTGAGCCTCCTCTGTGCTTCTGGTTCCTATTCCGAGGAGAGTGGCATGGGAATCAAGTCTCGAACGGGGTTTGATGTCAGTTTGTGGCTTTAAGTTTTGATCCAGTTGGACAGTTAGCCAGTAAGCCCACCAGTGACTGACTGCTTTGTTTGGTTGTGTTTTGCCGTCCCAGGGATGTCAAGAAATAGGCCGAACCACAGCTCAAGTTTTGAAACAGCAACTTTGCTGTGATTTACTACGCTGTGATTCACTGACTTTTTTTCCCCTTGGTTTGACACTCAGATGGTGGAGAACTGAAAATACTTATGTGTGGTTGTTACAGACAACCTCCTGTCTGAGTCTGTACTTTCGCAGTGACCATGAATCGCCTGTGGAAGCTGCAAATGGATTGTGAACTTGATTTCAAGTGACAAAACATCATCTAAGAAAAAAAAAACTTTATAGAATGCATCAGTGGCAGAATTCTATAAGATTTTACAGCCTCCCAAGCAAGGATGAGGCAAGGTTCTCAATCTTTGTTTTGTATTATCTATTCCCGCAAACTCAATATGGGAATAAAAAATCTGTTGATAACATGGTTTATTTGTAAGAAGAAAAATATGTGATGAGCCATAGTGTTTCTGTGATCGGAACAGAGCAGAACAGCCCACCATTGCTGCATCCACAAAAAGTAACCTGATACTGTTATATGAGGACCAAGCCATCAACCGAGAAACGTTGAGCAGAAACCCATCTCAGGTTACCAGGAAGACAGTGGAAACGTTAGCTGATTTTGGGGAAAAATTGAAACCAGCATCGGTGGTGGTCGGAGGAGAGGTGGTAACGTGGATAGGGTGGTGTGCCCACATCTGCAGGACAGTTGTGGTCATCTCAGCAAGACAGTGCTACACCTCATTCTGCAAGACTTACAGCAGAGCGTCAGCCACTCTGTCAGGTTTTCAGATGGACATCTGCGCAGATACACGGCCATATTGAAGCCGAGTCTGTTGTCTGTTGACCGGTCAGTAGCTGTGACCTGACAGGCCGAGCGGGGAAGGAGTTGGCGGGGGATGTCTCCGTCAGCATGTGGGATTGTCCCGGCTAAGTGTTATCCCGTTAAGGCTCGCCTTAATTATACAGACGACGCCCTAAATCAAGGACAGTGATCTTAATCCCGACTTCATGCGAGGACATCTGACTTAATTATTTCTTTAAACACTTATAGCATTTTCTAGGCTTTGTGTTGTTCTCTAAGTATATTTGAAAATTAGATAATAATACTTTGAATTGCAAACTTTGAAAACCTTTTTCATTATTTAAGTTAATAATCATACACAGAAATATTTTTTTAGGGAATTTTGGAACACAAAGGCATAAAATGACTAAAACGTGGAAACTTTTCCTTGTAGTTTTGCCCCCCCCCCCCCCCATGTGAACGTTCAGCATGTTCAAAAGCAAACAAGTGCACACATTCGTGCGCACCCACACATATACACACAATCTGGCTAAAAGTACACATCTGCTCAGTGACCCATGACTTTCTGCTCTTCTTCCCTAAGTGATTATGAGTTCCCCCCCAACCCCACACACACAAACACCTAGATGCACTCTCTCACACTCCAACCAGCTGTCCGCTCATCACTTAAGCACCAACACACGCCTACTATCACACACATCCACCTCCCCTGTGAATGGACAACCAATATGCAACGACACAGGTTTGACATCTAATCAAAGAGGATTACAAGTTGTCATGCCTCTCTTTGTTAGCATGAGACTGTATCTGTGCTGGGGGGGGGGGGGGGGCAGCGGGCAGCTTGATCTGCCCGCAATCCCTCTGCAAGATCCCTCTCACTCTCTATAGCTAATAGTAATCCTCTCCAGGATGAGCGAGTGTGTCCGCACAAGCCACGTTTGCATGTTGCTTATTACAACGAAAGGGCTCGGCCAGTATTACTTTGAGCTGAAAAAGGGAGCGGATGATGGAAACGGGCAGCTTGTTCAATTTGTTTATGGAAAAGGGAAATGAATTGAATTATCCGGTGAAATATTACTCATTTGTTTGGGCACGTTGCGGTTTCTGTTGCGCTGAATCCCCTGTGAGATCCCAGGGCCGACGGCTGTGGCGGGACACTTTCTCGAGAGTGTGCGTGCCTGTAACTCTGTTTGTGTCTAACGCACACTGAATCTGGGTGGATGTGGCAATGTAGTGTGTTTGTGGGCTCGTGGAAGTGACAGAATGTAAGAAGAGGCGATGAAAAGACAAAAACGTTTTTCCTCTGTGTGGTCTTCTTCCATTGTAACATGCCATCTCTGCTCTGCTCTCCTCCTCCAGCTGAGGACTGCCAGCTGCTCTCGCAGATCCCCAAAGTGCGCTGCCTGAGGAATGGCAGAAGAGAGGGTGAGTGAAGGGATGGAAAAGAATCATTTGAAGGGGAAAAAAACCCTTAGCATAAAGTTACCTTGTTTGGTCTGGTTTTCAAATAGATTTTACCTCGGTATATTTGTGTAAAATCCACCCAGAGATGCAAAGCCTGACCAGCAGCAATTGATTTTAAGTAAAGGAAATAATAACGTTACATCCATTACAAAGCTGTTCTTCTTTACATAATGCAACAAATCAGATTATAATCAGATGTTTATGTGTTACTTAAAATAAGAAAACTTGCCAAGCACACCCCCTATATAAAGAATTCATTTGAAGTTCCCTTTTGGACAAGCAGTTTTTAACTGTGTTAAGTGGGCTGGGAGTTTTATTTTCAGCAGAACAGGAATACCGTGAGTAAAATCAGACATCACCACCATGTCTGTGTGAAACCGCACATTGTGCCATTAAAGTGAGGTCCTACGTCCCTCATATGGTCTCACAACAGCGAGAAGCATTTGGATAAACAAGCCAAATCTCATGCAATCTGTGGTGGCTTGTTTGAGCTCTTGCAACTGAAAACCCACTGCATAGCATGGAGAATGTGAGTGTTGTTCAAGCACTCAGACATGTTTCTGAATTAAATTGACTTAATCTCTGAATAGGATTAAATCCTCAAGCGACAAAAAATAGCAAATGATGTTGCCAAACCAGAAGCCAGAAAAATCTGTGTCATTTTTCTGGGGTGGGAAGTTTTCTTGCAATAATCTCTCTTCTTCTGCTTGCAGTTTGTTTAGTTGTACATAGCACATGTTAATAAAACATAAGCCTGTTGGGTTCATACCATCATTTGGTTACTGGCAGCTGCAGCGTCCAAGAGCCAATTTGCATTTAAGATTTTCTGTGCTGCTCAATTTTTAGATCAGCCTAGAAAATTAAAAATACATCTACATCATACTTTGTTTCTTTTTTTCCCAAAGATAGTAAGAGAGTGATGACTGTATTCTTTTTAACTGGGTTGCCCAGGAAGAACGGATAAAAATAAAATACTGCAGTGAGAGATGCTAATGAACAACACAAAAGATAATGTGTCCCTGGGACCGCATTGACTTTTGCGCTTAATGGTTTAACACCTTCAGGCATCGTTGACTTTCAGTCATTTAATGCGCGACATTGCTGCCAGGGTTCATTTAGCTCTGAACCACTCAAAGTACCTACATGTGTTACAAACACAAGGCAGACTTTGTTATTTTGTGAAATTTGGAATGAGTTTGCCAATCACTAATTGAACAAACTTCACAATAATGTGCTCCTGGTTAATTTAGCAAAAAACTGGTAACATCAGTTAGCATTTTGACGTTGCATAAGAGGAAAGTATTATTACATTTGTTGGGCCACAACTGGATTTTCAAAAATTGAATGCAAAAGGCAACACATTAGTCCAACTAACTTAGTGTGACACTTATCTTTTTGTTAAGGTGTAAAAGGGTGGACACCATGTTCCCATTTTTTTTTATATAATGTGAGTACATTTTACAGATAATATTACAGAAAAATTCCCAATAATGTTCCTCTCATTCGCAGATTTTTCTGTTTCTTTGTCATACAATGAATCACAACAGAAGCTATCACTGAAATTTAAGCCCGTTAAGATTTAAAGCATTTCCAGATGGCCGCTCTGCTCTAATAAAATCCTGATTTTCGTTTCCGCCGCGGCCTCATCGCTAAAATTCTGCTGTAAAACAGGAACCTGAACTAAACAAGAGAATAACTGTTTCAGAAAATCAGCAACGTTTGTTAAAAGCATTTTAAAAATGTCAATGTGTGGCTCGTACTTAATTTACAAACCTTTAAAGATTCCTAATTACAGTACTGTACCGATATTAAGCAAAATTGATTGTCATCCGTTTTAGTCTGTCATGTAATAGGTCAAATGGAAAAATGTTCAATACTAACAAGTTAAAAGGGAGCATATTGGCTCATATTGAACAGGACACATTTGGGCAGTCAGTTAGGCGAGTCCCCTCCTATACTTGGACACACGGCAGTGCTCTGATGCCGCAGTTCAACTTAACTTTTGGGAGTTTGCTGACTCAGGTGTTATTCTAGGACTGGTCGGCAAAAAGTGTCTCATTCAAGCTAACGTTTGTTAAAACAAAAGTTGAATAAGGCTATTTGGCAGAAAGATAGTGTTCAAGTGGGATGGTCATTTATCAGGGCTTTTTTTTTGTTGATACAAACAATGCTTTTGAATCACAGGAGCTATGCTGAGCCAGGCTACTTCCTACCAGACACTGATGAAATGCTGTTTATTGTGCTGTACAATGGATGGTGCAGTAAGCCGCGTACAGAACTGAATCTGCATGTTTCAATGGGAATATTTGTGGAATTTATTCAAAAACATGGACATGGACAATTATGCCACTTTTCCTCTTACTTTTGCTACTGTATGTTTGATCAAATTTCCTAAGTTTCTGTTACCAATGTATGGTTGTTCTACTATTTTTAGAAATAATTTAAACAATTAAATTAAAAAGAAAGTCATATGACTATTATCCTGCCAGTAAGGATTCTTACCTTAGATTTAAATGGCTGTGATTGCAAGTGTAGTTTTGATGAAGAAAGACTTTGCTATAGTCAACACTTTCCTGCTTGTAGTGGTGTTTTTTTTCTCCAGAAAATCTCTTTTTTAAACTGTTTTACCCACATCTCCAAATCAACAACTTTTAGTAAGCAGTTAAAATCAGCCCTCAGACTAACAGAGCTAAGCAGATTTCTTTCCTAAAGTCAGTAGCAGATCACATGTACACATCCCAGAAACACAATTGATTATAAAACAAAAATATTTAATGGGGACATTTGTGCATTATTTAGAAAAAATGCTGAAAATGCTAAGAACTCATGCAAATTTTTTAAAATTCAATGTTTCAATTTTTTTAGTTCACATTCCACGTTCCAGTTCACATTTGTTGTTAGTCCAGCCATGAAACAAGTTGTCATCCACTTACCTGCAGCTATGAAAGGTATTATGATTTATTTTTAAGCCTCACAGCAGGATAAAAGAAAAGAAGAACAAGCGAACAAAAAAAGGAGATATAGATGGAGAAAATTACAGAAAGAATTCAGAAGTAAAAGAGTAAAATACAAGCTCTATTAAGTGGTCTAATGGGTCCAACTATGCATAACTGATATTCCATCCTAGAAATATAAGAATGAAAATAATGATATATTATATAATATAATTTTTTACTGTTATGGGTTGAAATATGATGTCTTTCTTATTGTTTTTAGGAAAGCTGATTCATTTACCCTATTAGATATTTCATTAAGAACCATAAAAAACTCTTTACCATAAAACTTTTTTTTCCCAAAACTTTTCATATTGAACGTATTTGACTTTGTGTATCCCTCAGGTTTGATCCGGTCCCGTGTGCGAGGAGCCAACACGGCCTCTGCCTCCATCCTGACCTTCTTGGACAGCCACTGTGAGGTCAACACTGACTGGCTGCAGCCAATGATCCAGAGAGTAAAGGAGGTAGGGGGAACAAAAAAAATAGGAGCCACTCTCTGCCATCATTCACACTCTCCAATTAGACATCTGATACATTCAGCACACACAGACACGGTTTGAGCTGGAACACTTGCTTTTTTTTCCCTCTCCTGTGGTGGCACACTTTAGGGGATTTAGCTGCTTTTCTGGGCAGATTTTATTAGCTCTGACGTAATAAACTGGCACAGCATTTTGTTTAATAAACACTCAATTTGTTCCATAAAAATTGAAGTCATACTATACCAGATGCCACACTCGGCTTTGCCCCCCGTGGGAAAGAGAGTCCCAGCCAATCTGTTTTCCATGCTGAGATGTGTCTTAAATCTCTCCCTAATAATGCACAATGCGCTACATTCATGTGGATCCTGAGATCTTCCGGCAACCTTTTGTTTGCATTCACATCATTTCGTCCAAAAATACCATCAGATGGAGTCAGAGCGGCCGGTTTTTCACCCACTTTTGAACAGGCATAGACTTGCAGCAGTACCGTGCCGTGGGCAGTGGCCGCGCTCGGTCTCGCTTCGGGTCTCACGCTGGGCCGTTCTGTGATCAAAAACAGCCTTTTTTAATGCAGTCGACAGCCCCCCCCCCCCCCCCTTCGGCAAATTAAGTCATGCAGCCCACCAGGGACACTGCTGTCACATCAGCTCAGAACAATGGTGAGAAAACAAACAAACAAAAGAACAGCATATCTGTATCCGGAAAAGTAGGTATATGCCGTCTTTCCTTTTTTTTTTCCTTTTTTAAAACTTTTACCGTTTTTTCCATGTGAGCTTTCAAGGGCGCTTTGGCGGCGAGCTGGCAGCAGATAAAAAACACAAGCCACGGCAGAGCTCCTGCATTCACCTGCTGAAGCAGGAGCGTGGGGTATTTTGATTAAAAGAGATGAGGCTGTGGAAAGAGACCTTCATCACTCACTCATGAGTAATAGACTGTTTGCTTGCTTTCCCATTCCTCCCCTGACATCCCTAACCTACGAGCTTGGCTCTAAGCAGCACAGCTGCTCCTCCAGTCCCCCCCCCCCCCCCCCCCCCCCTTCACGGGCAAACATTCCCACTGACTGTAGCGTGCGGGAGCTGGTTCATTTCTCACGAATTTCTCTCTGTAATCACCCGTCCCATTAAAGTCCGACACCTCTTGAGACACCTGCTTTTTTCTCTGTCTTGTCACTTTTACCCCCACCGTGCCGCACCCCTGGCAAAAACAGCTGTGCTATTTTCTGCCGCTCCAGTAGCGTCGACTCACATTTCTGCTCTTAGCTGACATATTGTTGCCCTGATTTTCATGAAAATATGCTTTTTGTCTGCTAAAATTTCATGCAAAGACTTGACTTATGATAGCTTAGCATAAGAGCCAAGAACCAGGCTGCTGGCTGGAAAGATTTGTATCAATGTTGAATTGTTTCGTGACCAAAAGTAAGGTTTCAACAACAGCTTTTGTTCAAATAGAAGAAAAAAAAATAGACAGGATGGACACAGTTATTTATCATTATTGATTTCCTCTATTCCTGCTATTCCAAGTTTAGCTGACCATCACTTCGCTGTTGCTGTATTTTACCCACAGACAGGCAAGTGGTAAAATGTTTTTGTTTAACCAATGGCAAGGGAAAAGTAGCATTTTCTGAAGGCTTTTTTCACAAAATAATAAGTTACACCATAAGTCACAACAGCTGCAGAACATTCATAAATAACCTTGTCGCTACCGCACCTTCCTCTCTTTTCTATTAAGAGACTCAGGACGTTGCAACTGTGCACAGTTAGATTTTCATGTCTGAGCACTGGTCTTCCGGCTTTGGGCAAAAGATGCTCATTAAGCTAGTGTCACAGCCTCTTTTATCTTGCAGTCAACCCTGTGTCGGGGAATAAGTCATTAACACCAGCGTTTGGCTGCAGTAGGACCTCTTGGATTCGTTTGTTTCCCGGAGACCTGAGCCCTGGTTTCCTTAAGGCCTCTGGGAGTGGATAAAGGATGTTCTTTGTCCCAGCATAATTGAGCATTTCGTTTGCCAAGTCAGAGCAACAACTGAGGCAGCTTTACTGATTATAATTAGATGCCAACAAGAAGTTCTCCTCTTGCTCTTAAGTTCAGTGAAGGATCGTCTCTCCGCGTTTGTTGCCCCCCGACTAAATAATACGAATACTCACTATTTCTGCGAACTGATCAGGACTCTGAGAATGAAAAAATATTTGTGAGTTTTAAAAATAGGGATAAAAAAAATAGAAAAGTACAGACGGTGGGAAGAAATATGGAATTATAGGGTAAGGGTGTTTTTTCAAACACCCCAGACACATTAGTATACACCAGAGTGTATTCATTTCAGTGAATAAACATACTCCAAAAGTAAGATGTTTTTCAGATGACATAAGGATTAAATCATCTGTAATAAACAAGTCTGGCTCTTGACCTTTAGCTCTAGCTGGACAGTGGGTCCTTTGTTGGTCTCTCGCTAAAATATGAATGTAGTATCTTGCTTAAGTGAAAAAAATCAGCGGAAATGGCACCGCTTCGTATGTGGAAACCCAGAGAGTTACTTTATGTTCAACTTCTCAAGTAAATCTGTGTCTCCATTCTTATTCTGCCCCGTTCTTTCCTTTGCAGTGGGGAAAATAAGTTTACATATATTAAAAGCATCCAGATGTTGATTGTCAAACAAAACTTCACTCTGACGGTGTGATGAATTCTAAATTATTTCAAATGCAGTCAAGAGTATAGATTGGGATATGGTGAAAGATCAGTGGTGACATAGATTTTGGAAGCGCAAGCCACTCGTGCATTACGAAAATCACAGAGGCTCATTAAAAAGCCAATAAATGTCTATTGCTTAAAGCTGCTCAGAGCATCGCTTTCCAGAATTGCTCTCTGGCAGAGTGACATGTCACACTTGCTCTTTGCACACACACTCTGACTGGTGCAAAGTACACAACGGCTCTGGCCCCCATGCAAAGAGAAGGTTGGCTCTAATTGAAAGCAGTCGTTTGGATTGTTCTGTAGCTAAAACGTTCGATTGCACAGGCCCTCTCACGGATGCCTTATGGGCAAAGAGTGATGTTTGCACAGGCATAGTCACAGACAGATGCATACAGATCTGACCCAAATACACTATAAGGCACAAACTGTGTTCTCTCTATTGGTGGGTTTACTTTTCACACAGATTTGGTACATTTCTGCAGTCCTCCTCACTTCTCAGCTTTATATCGGCTCGCGAAAAGTCAAATGAAAATGCGCTTAAAGGAAGCAAGCAAACGCTAAAGAAATAATTTATGAAAATATGTTAAACAATACTGTTAACAAAGGATTGCTTTGCTAGCACTGAGGAAGTTTTGAGTCATCCCTCATTTCTTTGTGTTTTTCTGCCAGGCAGCTGGAATTTGATTGAAAAGTTGTCTTTAGTCAAAGCTTTTCTATGGAAATTTGTTTTCTGAGAGATTAAATATTGTTCTATGGCTTCTTCAAAAGTCAAAAAGGCACCACAAAGGCTCAAGGGATGAACCAATGTTTTGTGTACACATAAACAATCCATTTTAGAATGTCTTTTTTGGCACTTTGTTACTATCAGCCTGTCAAAAAGACATATACCCTTGTTTCTTATAGTTAAAAAGAGAAAACAGTTTTTACAGACTAAAATATTAATGCAGCATCAATAACGTGATTTTCAAAGAGATGTTAGATCAAGAAAACTTCTGGAAACAAGACAAGTTTGCACAAGTGTGGGGTCATCTCTTGCAGAGAATGGAACAAAAGGCAGCCAGCATCTAAAGAACAGCTTTGGGATGTCTGTTGAAAAGACTAGAGAACCCTTCCAGAAGACTACTTAAAGAATTGGCAATAAAAACTTGTCTGTCAGGGATCAGGCTGTGAGGAATAAAGAAGTCTGTGTCAAAGAATGTCTTGATCGGGTTCGGCTGCCGTCCTTGGGAAGAGCATTGAACTGGAATGTGAATAAATGTCGAAGTTTTACAATGTGATCTGTTGTTTTCCTCCCGTACAGGATCACACACGAGTGGTCAGCCCCATCATTGATGTCATCAGCCTGGATAACTTTGCCTACTTGGCAGCGTCGGCTGACCTGAGAGGAGGTCAGGACCCAGCGCAACACACACAAAACCCCTGTTACATGTCCCTTTGATTCATGCCAGCATACAACTTTCACGAGGGAAATTCAAAACACTGATGAATACCAATTTTGAAGCCTTTCTAGATTTTTTTATTGACCTATTTTAGATTAAAGTGAGTTTCCTGCATTGAAAGCCGCTAAAATCAATAGAAATGTATTCATTAGGTGAAATGCTACTTCCGGTCCTTCAGCCAAACTGAAGATACTCGCATCTGTATATATATATATGTATATATACGTATATATAATTTTATTTCATTAATTTTTTTTCTTAGGATTTGACTGGAGTCTACATTTTAAATGGGAGCAGATTCCTATTGAGCAGAAGATGGCACGAAGCGACCCTACCCAATCCATAAGGTACTTCTGCACAGTTTGGGAAGCCCCCTGTGGGGGATCTGTTGTGCAGTTGCACTCATCAGAACCCAGAAAATTCTCCTAAACATCCACCTTTTAAAAAAAAAAAATTAGCACAAAGCAGTTAATGGATTGAAGGAGATTGTAGAGCTGCGCCCATTGGGGTCATTGTTCAGATGATATGTTATACAGGATATAGGGAAAACAACCTTTCACTTATCTGAATAAAAAAAAAAGATAAAGTAAAAACCCTCAACCCACAGGACTCCCGTCATCGCTGGGGGGATCTTCGTCATGGACAAGAGTTGGTTCAACCACCTGGGCCAGTACGACACCCACATGGACATATGGGGAGGGGAGAACTTTGGTGAGCTCCTATCAAAAGATTTCCTTGTTGTCTTTAAAAAAAAAACTATAATATCAAGCTCCACAGCACAAAACCTTCACAGACTGAAAATGAGGGTTTAAAAAAAAAGCTTGCAGTCTCTCAGTTTTGGGCGTGCCTGTTGGAGTACGCTCATTAACAGGTCTCAGAGCAGTTTCTAAAAGGACCAGGTGGAAAATGAGCCGCGCCATTTGGCAGTGGCCCGACACGAACTCGAACCACTGAGCCTCTACTGACCGCAGTTACCACTGAGACACCGGTTCTCATTATCCTCCACAGCGCTCTGTGGGCACTCGAGGTCAGCCTCCCAGATTATTTTCAGATCTGCTGCCGTGTTGGATTTAGCTTCCCACTCTCAGTTTTCCCCCGTTTTTGCTGTTCCTTTAAATTCTCCCTCGTGGCCCAAGTTGTGAGAATACTGGCAAATTAAGAAACGAGTCATTTCTAGGTGCTAGTCCGATGCCACTGCTTTGGAGCAGTATTAGATCTCACGTCATAGGCTGAAGGGGAGGTCGGTTTCCTCGTTGGATTTTGGTCTTGCTTTAAAAGTCTTGACCAGAAATTTCTCGAAAAACCAGCTAAAAGTTAGAAATAACACAAAAAAGAAAGTGAGGACCAGCTGAATCAGCTCCCATAATGGATCTTTGCACATGTTTAAAGATTTGACATGTGGGGAATTTAAATTCTTGCTGGTTGTTTAAAAATGACGTTGTTTGACCTGTTTTTAAAGCTGTGATTTAGGCATTTTGAAGTAAATACTGAGACTTAGGTTTGTCTCTGTCTGCAATACTTCAATCTGCTTGCGACAGGGTGAGACACAGTTAAGTGGAACAGAGGCAAGAAGGGGCAGGCTGCAGACTGAAAACTGACCCATAAATGAGCCCATAAAATTCTGAAGCAACATAACAATTTAAACATTTTTTAAACCTGCAGCCACGCATGTCAAATCCAACGTTTAATGGTACAAACTATTAGGTTTTTCCATAAACATTCACGCAAAGGACAACAACGGCTGTCATTTACAATAAAAACAATAAGCATAATCTCATGAATAGTTCTGTTTGATCTTTTCCATAAATTCTGAGAACGAAAATGCTTTTAGATGATCAGAAACAGATTTGTACACATTCAGCCTGTAGAAGAATTTTTATAGAAAATCAGCTGTAAATCATGTGGTCAGTGTAACATATTCATTCAGTAATGAAAACAAGGTTGTTGTTTTTTCTAAATCGAGCACTTGCACGTGTGTGTATTTAGTACCTAAACATCTGTTTCTCATGAAAAAGCCGAAATAGCGTAAGAAACTAGACACTTAAATGACTCCTTTGGGTCTAGGAGGGGCTGAGCGCCCCTACGCTCCTAAATGTCAAAGTGTCCTCAGAATTTAAAACACTTTTTCTCTGGGCTCTTGAAGCAACCAAAGCCAGGTGAGTATAAAAAGGATGACCCTTTTGGACCCCGATCACCGTGTCCGTCCCCCCTTACAGAGCTCTCTTTCCGGGTGTGGATGTGTGGAGGAAGTCTGGAGATTCTCCCGTGCAGCCGCGTGGGACACGTGTTCAGGAAACGGCACCCGTACGACTTCCCCGAGGGCAACGCGCTCACCTACATTAAGTGAGTTGATCTGCTTGCCGTTAATCTCGCAGGACGGTTTGCTAGCAGCCCGCTCTAATGAGAGATGAGCATCTTATACAATGAAACTAAATGAACATTCTGTCGCAAGATGATCAATCAAATAATAATGGAGAAATATAGGACGGGAAAATGTGCATAACAGAGTCTAATTTGTTGTGGAAGTTGAATTGTTTCTTGTCTTCAGTCGCCAAGAAATGCATGAAAACCGGACCACTGTCATTAAAGCTGCCTGCCGGAAGGCCTGGATGTCTAAACAGGTGTTGTGTCTTTGCCCACGCAGGAACACCCGGCGGGCTGCCGAGGTGTGGATGGATGAGTATAAACAGTACTACTACTCTGCACGGCCATCAGCTCAGGGCAAGGCCTTTGGCAGGTTGGTCTGTCACAATGTCATCCTCCCAGTGTGTGATGTCCCCCCATGAATGTTCAGTAATGTTTCACACACGTCAGGCAATTTGGTCTAGCTAGAGTGTCCAATTTTAGTTGAGCCATACTCATAGTTTCTGTAGGAAAAAAGAGGGTAGAACTACATCAGGGACACAAAAATACCGACAGTCGTCGGTACAGATTAGTCGGTATATTTTCTGCATAACCGATTTAAAGCCATACCATGCTAACATACCTTAGCATAGTAGGTGTATATTCCATTTAAGATTGAAATGAGTCTAATTTTTTGCTAATCTTTAGCCATATTTATGTTTCTTTGTGAGGATTATGATATGAAATCCTTACATTTCCCTCTCTCCTCATGTCTTAACTCTCACCCCAATCCCTTTTTCACTTTCCCTTTTAAAAAAAATATTTGCTCTCTTTCCATCTGTTTTGTCTGTCAGCATCGCAGACCGTCTGACACTTCGGCGGAAACTGAACTGCAAACCTTTCCGCTGGTACATGGAAAATGTCTATCCTGAGCTGAGGTGGGACATTTTAAGCAAAACATTTAATGTCAAACATTTTAGGCTTTCTGTCTGAAATAAAAACTTCAATTGTATAGAAATAGTGACTAAAGAATAGGATTTTGTCATATTTGCTGAAGCTGTCACTATCCCCTGAAAGTCATACAAAATAAAAAATAGCCTGTGCGTCCTTGACAAAGCTTTATTATACACAGGAGCTAAAGGGAAGAGCTGAAGCACAGCAGAGAGGGAGTGGGCGGGGCTTGTAGGTTGGATTTATACAATTATTAAATCCTTTCTCAAGATTTCCAGGTTCTGAAGGAACTAATTGAAATTCTTGCCCTGTTAACAAACTGTTAGCTGTAACCTCATGATGTCTCTTCAAACTAATTCATTTGGGTCAGGGAAGAGTTTCCAAACACTTAGAATTAGTAGATTCAAAGTAGATTAGTAGATCTAAATCTTTATCCGGTAGCGCTTATGTTAAACACGCATATTCATTTGAAACCTGCCTGATTTGTAAATGCCAAGAGAGACTAAGTTTTCTATCAGAAAGCATTTAAGTCAGACAAATGGCAAGATTGATTATTGGTTACAGAAAACAGCCACAAAAACACCACATTCAGGGGAGATATTGTTCCAAAATAATGCATTTTTTATTGAACAAAAGTAATTTTGCAACACCGAGGAATGTCCTGACTCCAATGTTTCGACCCATTAATCTAAATTTAACAAATATGGTCGGAAATTTTCTTGTGTGGTTCATCCCACAAGCTTTTTTTTTTTTACCTTCTTCTTTCCAGCTGTAACTTTTCCAAATAGTCATGGCCTCACACATCAGTGGTTCAGTAAGGTGGCTGGTCAACTCAGTCCATCTGCTCTTTGTAAGTGTTGTAATGCGAGCTCTGTGTTGGCCCCGCTCCCATCTGTCTCTGGTTCCCTCAGAGTCCCTGAGCAGGAGGCGGTGTCCAGCGTGCTGAGACAGGGCGGTTTGTGTCTGGAGACCCGTGGGACCGACGGCCTTGGCCTGGCGGAGTGCAGGGGCATTGGATCCAACCGGCCGCAGTCGCAGGTTAGGACTCGGCCAATAGTGGGATATCATGGAAACCAGTCACGCATTAAAAGAAAAGCAGGGGAGATAAGTGGGATAACGTGTTTGTTTTAACTTTATCTTACTAATTCTGCTTCATCATCACCTTTTGATGCCTCAACTGGAATAAACTGCACTAGTTTGATTGTTCAATGATGCACTTCAGTCACTTCAGTTACATTTGTTTTTGTTCATTTGTATGGCTGTTGATTATTATCATTCTATTTTTTAGCTATAATGGGATATTTTCTTTTTTATGAAAGGTCATTATGAGTCGTGATTATCTCCTTAAGTAAACCCTACATTTCATGGTCAGCTTGACCGCTGGTGGACAGCCATTGTTAAAACCTCAATCGAGCAGTGGGCATTAAAGAAGTCAAGTTTGTATTTGTAAGACAAATCACAGTCCTTGGTTGTTTTTTTTCTCGCATTTGGCAGAAATGGGAACTAATAGAGCCACTGATCCGGCAGCAGGACCTCTGCCTGGCCATTTCCGCCTTCACTGCAGAGTCAAAGGTCAAGATGGAGCCTTGCAGCGCAAAAGAACCCCGACAGGTAAGGGAGAAAAAGCAGGATCAGGCTTTCGGAATGCTTTTTTCCACATCCAGTAGGTACTAAAAAACAGGTGCTGACTGATAAGGAGCCTTTTTGGGGGATGGAGGATTTCTCAGTGACAACACATTATCATAATAATCATGACTGTTGGTGACTCTTTTGGTGTGAAGCTCGCAGAGAACTCAGACGGGAACAGTTCTGGAGATAAGACACGGTTCCATTACAGATGCTCAGCAGCCCGCCTGCTGACAGCGCCAGGAGGCTTAGATCCAAGCGACCTTATTTCACTGGCACAGATCCTGCCAAGCCGAATTTATAGATAGTAGAACAAGAGCTCAAATGACTTCAGACCCCATCCTGTTACTTCCTCAGTCTCTCTCTTGCAAATGTTGAATGCGAGCGTCCCACACGGACACAAGTGCGCCTCAAAGTGATTCACGGCATCGCAGAGGGAGTCATTAACCGGAGCCATGTGTGCGTGGAACCCTCTGCCAGGCCTTCTATTCCTCTCTCAACTGGCCCATCACAAACCTTTCAGCGCTTTTTGGGAGCGTGCCCATCGACAATTCACCGGACACATTTGGCCCATTTGTGCAGTTTCTAATCTCCTGGAAACCAAAAAGTGCTTCTCCTCACTTTTGCTAAGTGATAAAAGATTCTCATCCATCACCAATATCACTGACACTTAATCTCTCTTTATAAAAAAAAGTCTGGAACTTTTGGAACTTTTTCTTTCTACATATTAAGAGTTTATTGACCCTTCATGTGTTCTTTTTTTATTATTACATTTTCATTCTTTCCTGAAATAATTCAATTAGTTCTAGATCTATAAATAAAGTTGAATACTTAAAGGTTATTTGGCTTAGATTAAACTCATTTTGACACTGAGTAACAGCTAAAAACATAAGATAAAACATAAAAACACATGGCCTGCATGCACTTTAAAGTGTGACTACTTTACACTGTTTAGTGTAGTTTTCCTCAGCTCTGTTGCACAAGCAAGTTACAGCCTAAACATAATAACCCCCTGTAGCCGAACAGGATTATGTTAGGTGGAATCAAATTCCTGGAGGCACTGTCTCTGGGATTTTAAGATTAACCCCTCACTCACCTTCAGACTTACTACGCATTGCACCAGCAACCGTAACACTTGTGCTTGGACTTCCTCTTTATCCACTTAAACTATGAGCTAAAAAAAGGAACCACTTACACCTGGTGGTCTTCTGGCAGCCTGCTGGCGAGGGATCTTACTCAACCTACCTTTATTCTTGAGTTTCTTATAGCTCGCTTAAGTATCTTGCGCACAGTGATGTGACTCCGGGCTGCTTCAGTGGAAAAGAATGTTAGATTTACGAAAAGCTCACAAAGCCTTATTCTACTGTCTTTATTTACGGAAGGCCTGTAGACGCTCTGCAGGATCCAATGCATTTATTTTCAAGTGGATGAGTTACAGCTATGGCAGTCTGATGTCACAGTCCTGTCATTTATCCACTCATCAAGAGAGCCAGCTTTAACCGGTTGTTTTTGGCCACTTGTCGAGGTCATAATAGCAATCAGCAATAGATCAAATGACAGAAACAGCTTTGTCAACGACATTGTCAACGGATCTGATTGCTTTGAATACCAAAAGTAAAGAAGAATTCAGTAAAAACCAGTCATTTAAATCTTATTCAATACTGGAAATGAAAACATTTCATATTTCGAGTAGTATCCCTTCTTCTTTGGACAGATTAGGGTCCAGTTGCTGTACCTTTGAAAGAGGAAAGTTCCTTGTCATACTGAACAGCTGCTCAAACGTCAAATGAATCAGAGTAAGAAATGGAGCTTTCTTTCATGAAAAATTTTTCATTTCATCGTCAATTTAGCGGCAGCAAAAAGTCACAAAATACCTGCAACAGAGGCAATGAAATCGCTAAAAAAGGAAGTACGAAGAAAGGGGAACATTTCAGAGCAGCATGTTGCAACCAGTTGTTTAATTGGCAACAGGCCATAAACATGGTTGGGTATAAGAAAAGCACCTTGAAGAGGCAGAGTTTCTCAAGAGTAAAGATGGACGGATGTTCAAATGGAGATAAAATTGCGATCATCTACTATGGAGGTATCAACTTTCAAGGATTTTGTATTATTTTCAGTGTAAGAAATTATCTTCTTTGAGTCTTAATGTGTTGGGGTCAAAATATGTATATTTGTATATTTAAAAAAAAAAAACCTGATGGGAAATAATTTGACTTTTTTCTGAAGAACAAGAGTTTACACCTTTAAGCAAAAGCAAATGGATTCTTCTTTCGTGGGCTGGCTGTGCTGCGCTTTTTCCACTGCAAGTGCTGAAAAGTCAGTCATTCATGTGATTACTCTAATCCAAGTCTGAGTCAGCCCCCTTACTCATCACTAACCCCGACCTCCTGTTCTCGTCCACATCGCGGAATACAGAGCGGAGCGCGTTCCAGGATGTGTGTGCTGCCCCAAAGAGATTAATTCACGCTTTTTTCTTCTTCTCCTCCTTCCTTCTTTTATTATTTTTGTTTTGTTACAGAAGTGGAAGCCTAAAGGCACGGCTCTGCAGCACATGGTCAGCGGACTCTGCCTGGACAGCCAGACCCCGCCCGGACCTCCGGTCATCACACAGTGTCGCCCCCAGATGGCCAGCCAGTCCTGGGAGCCCCAAATCATCACCTGAGCCACGCCGGGCGGGAAGAGAGGGGGGTGGGCCAGAGTCGAATCTAGAACACCCGCCGAAGGATTTTTGTGAGGTCGATATTTGCGGATTGTCTCGCCGACGGATAGGAGGAGTGGAAAAACTGTACTTCTGTGATGTCACCTTCTGGCTCCTGCTCGCTCGCCGAAAACCTCTCAGAGGCCTCGTTGTCTTCTGTGCGACGCGCTTCATCCCCTTCAGGACGCCGCCGTCCCTCTGCATACTCTGAGCTTTTCCCCACATCTCACGGGTTTTGATTTTCTTGTCCTCGTTACCCGGTCCGCGACTTTTGCTTTACGTGTTGGGGCTGGCGCAGATCCTCCCGGAGAAGACAAACGCAAGCTGTTACTGTAGCAAAAAGCGGCCAGCAGCGCCTGACCTGCCCTCAGTCCAAGTCACTGCTCGTCTGGCCGCCTGGTCTGAGGTCGAGAGGAAGAGAAGGGCCGGGAGGGACCAGAGCAGCTTCATGTATAGCCAAAAAAAAATGAATAAATAAAAAATCTGAGCTTTTTATTGCTGAATAGCAGTCTTTAAAGCACCGTGCAAATCACTGTCGGGAAAATTATTTATTCGTTTGCATGGTCAGACCCAAAGAATGTTTTTTTTTTTGTTTCTTTTTTTTAATTGTAGTGTTTTTCTTCGTCTCTACAATTGATTTCTGTAAATATTTCAAACAGGTAACTGACTTGTTTGTTATTTTTTTTGTGTAAAGTAATCTATATGTCGTTTGAAAAATAAAATCTGTCAACAAAAGGAATTTGTGCATGTGACTTTGATCTACTACTAACCTTCCACACAGGGGCTCCTTTCTGAAGTAATAAATCAACATAGATAGGACCATGTAACGCACACATGTTTAAGCAGAAGTGGAACATTTGTGTGGGAAAAAACAAACGAAAACACCAGGAATGTGATTACCCTTCCAGTCATCTTAAAAAAGAAAGCACAGCTTTCATCACAGTATCTTGTGTATCAGGACTCAATGAATAGTCATTGTGTCAACAATTATCGCAGAGAAACAACCGTTACCACCAACGGATCTAAGAACGGTTGTGGGGCTAATCACTTTACGATGTTCCTGGGAACGGACGTCCCTGTGAAGTCATTGCATGATGATTGAGCAATGCTCAGAGAAAAACTGAAAACAAAACACCCAAGAGCAACATTCCGCTCTCCGTAGGCCTCGGGTATCGTGCTTTATGTTAAAATTCAGGTAAGTGCAGTTAGAAAAGGACCGAACAAGTGTGTCTTGTTTGGAAGGGTTGCAGGGGAAAGCCCCCTCCTCTCTAAAAAAGAACGCAGCAGCACAGCTTGGATTTGCAAAAGCCGCATCTGAATACACCCTAAAACTTGTGGAAAATTGTCTTTTACACCATAAGAAACCCCTAAAAAACACCACATAAAATGTATTTATGGCCAGTGCTAAGCCCGGCGGTGGAGGGTTAATGACACGGGCTTGCTTTGCAGTCATTTAGTTAACCAGCTGAACTGAAGAAAGATTTAAGGTGAAGGTGATAAAAAAAAGACAGTTCTGAGGTGCGTGTCATCATTCACACACTGCCTCTGTTTTCTTGGCTTAGCCCTTCCAAAAGAAATAGCGGCACGTTTGTAATACACCTCTTGTTGCTGTTCACTGGGTGCTGATTTAGCTTTGTTTTTTTTAATTCCTGACATGTAAGACATTTGAACAGCTTTGTTCTTCTGACCACTAAGGAAGTATCAGTATTAAGAAGGTCTCGTTGAATTTTAGCGAGGTCATTTAGTCCTCACAAGTTAAAACAACTCCCTTTAAATGTAAAAAGAAAAAGCTTATCCAAAAACTGTGAACTGAGGAACAGATACAATGTTAAGGTTTAAAGCAAAAGTAAGATTATATAGTCGAACATGCACATTTAGTCTGAAGGAGCTAGCTAGCTAAATTCTGCCTGTGCCTTTTGTAGCTTGGCAAGATATTGATGCTCATTATGCTTTTCTGCAACAAAAAAAAAAAGCCAGGTGTTTTGGATCAGTCGGGGGCTGCTATCACTTCAGATACCTAAAAGCCTTTTGATGGGCTTTAATGGAGTTTTTTTTTTCTCTCTCTTTGCTCTCTAATTGTGTTTTGGGCTTGGCCCATACTTTTCCTCATGGGTTTGAATTTGAGAGCTGCTGATATAACTAATGGGGTTATGTCACCCTCTCTGGCTTGCCAAGGCCAATTAATCAAGGCTGTTCACCGAGCAATTTGTTCGTCATTTTCGAGAAACGTTGGCTATCGGTATCATGAGGAATTAGGACATTAGGGGAGTTGATTGTGGTGGGGATGACAAATTTCTGCGTTGACAGTGGTGACTGATTTGCTGATGTCCTTGCTGCAAATGTTCTGCGAACCCCCTTGGCTCCATGATTTACCACAGCCAGTCTGACACCATGCCGTCATTTGTTTCATGCCTTTCTTACATGCTGGGGAGAAGGAACATTTTTCTCCCCCTTAAAACCAGAAGGGCAAGATATATCTCCTGCGTTCAGACTGTCAAAACCTTAAATCTCAGAGGGGGAGAAGGGATTTGCCTCTTTTGGTGGGATTATTGATAAATAGAACGCAGTAAACCATATATATACATATGTATATATATATATATATATATTAATCAGTTCTGCTAATAACAAAACTACTCTCTGTCTTTTGGAGGTATGAGTAAAAGGTAAAACTTTTATCATGAAAGCTTGAAAAACATCAAGAATCAAACTAAGCAAGTTGTGTTTGATTATGGAGGCATATCTGTATTTCGAAAGAACAGCCATGTTACTTTATCATTCCCATTTAGGGGACCGAATCAAGGGGAGTGGTTCACGCATAGCTCACAAATAAAGTTATTCCAGAAAGGTCGGAACCTTTCTGCTTTATCTTTGGGAACTCTCATTAGCAAAACCACTCTGAAATAAAAATTGAAGTTGCAGAGGATCCGGGCCGTTAGCTTAGGTGTCAGGCCATATCTTTCATGTCCTCTCAACCCCCAAAACCTCCCCATTTAGACTCCCGTCCTCCCTGAGTCTGGTTCTGCTGTCTTCTCCTTAACAGTTTTTCATCGTTCCTGTCATCACCCGGCCTGGTTGAGCTCAGGAAACGGAGCCCGATCAAAGAGAAAGTTGATAAAAAACTGTAAATGCATTGGCAAAGTTGAACTGACCTGACTTATTATAATTGGATCAAAGTTTAAATTAGTCATTTTCGATGCAATTTATCTTGTTTTGTTGTAAACTGGCTTCATATAAATAAGGTGAATTTTATTCAACTGAATCTCGTTTGATATATCTTGACTTAACTGTATAATTGTAGCACAACTGAATGGAATAGATGAACAAACCATAATCATTTTTAATTGAGTATAGCAGAAATGAATTGAAGTGACTTTAACTGGTTTTTATGTACATACTTTTAGAGATGCGTAAAAATGATTGATTAAGAGACTTACTCTAATGTTAAATACCTCCTCCTCTGAACAGAGATATGGAAACATAACAATTATCTGTTAGGATCCTGTTTGACATAATTTCTTGCTTATATGAGCATGGCTTCTATCTCTAGAATATTTTATTTTCCACTTTTATTTTAAGAAATTCTTTTCTGAGAGTGTACGTGTTAATTGATCGGGTAATTGTTCCAGTTTATAGCCTAAATAAAGCTTTTTTTAGGCTCAAAAGCGGAAAGTGATGCTCAAGTTCTGCGGGGATGTTGTTGCTCAAGATGACCACAAGGGGGCAGAACCTGCCAACGTATTTCAGAAGCGTGGGAGACTTCAATGTTTATCTTAGTCACACTGCTATATTGATGAATTTATGTCTTTTTTTAATGAGTAAATTAATCATGAAAAATATGGAGTTAAGCGTAATTAAGAATATGTATCAAACAGACAGAGTTGATCACAGTTTCTGGGAGCAAGCAAGGAATAAATCATCAGTGATGAACACTGACTGAATACTGTGTGTGTGTCCATCATCTACATAAGAGGCTCAACAAGCTGTTTAAGGAGTTGTAAATGCGTGCTTGTGTGCACTTCTTTTGGAACCTTTGTGGCTACAAAATATGCCACACTGCAGCTTTGCAGGCTTTAAAGCTATGCGAGGAATGCTGATAAACTTCTGGCCTTTTAAAGAGGCCAGTGTGTCATCATCAGGGGCGGAGAAAGTGAATATGAGAGGGTAAAGGCACGCATTTGAAAAGGCAAAGGCAAAGCATTTAGCATTCAAACCATTCTTCAATCGTAATACAACTAAACCTAATGAATGGTAAGATTTTTATACTTGAATTGAAGACTGCACTCAAACAGGCCATGGTGCAAAAAGCTGTTACTCCAAATGTGCTCTCCCCAGGCTCTGCTGTGTTGTAAGTTCAAGGGTTGCATCAGATTACTTTGAAATACGGCCGGTGACGGAATACACACATGTAATTCAGCCAACGAGTAGCAGAGTGGATCTCAAGAAATGTTTCTCCCCTCTGGGGAGAGAGAGTTTCCAAACAAAGTGCCTCATATTTAAGGGTTTTATTAAGTTTGTATTAAGTTTTATTAAAGTTAATCACAAAAAAATTACATTTAGCTAAATCTATCGTTAAAGTTATTCTGTATGTATCCTGCATGCCTCCTGACCCAGGAGACGTGGTGCAGGTGTCTTCAACCAGAGGTGTCTTCACATTCTATGGCGTCGTGCCTGCCCATACTCTTCATAACCTACACATCCATGTTGGCGTTTTATCTCAATGAAATAGGAGTCTTATTCAGCAGTAGATTGTGAATGGTTTCGAGCGTCAGCAGAAGGAGGTTCAAACGGAGTGCAGTGACCTCAAATGGGCCCCCTCCGACCCGCTTTCCATCAACGCGCGGCGACTTCCGCTCCGCGGCCGAATTCAGCCCAGGTTGAACTATCCACTATCCATCACCTCGCGAGCTGCGCGCGCGGCGGCCAATGAGGTCGCGCGGAGGCGGTCCGTTGCTAAGGTGGAG